TTAACATTGTAAGGAATAGAATTAGACTATTAAGTCCCTTCCAGCTCCAAAATTCTTTGACTATATGAATACAGGAAGCCTTAGAGAGCAAAATCTGGGAATTAGAAATACAGCAATAGATCTTGATGTAAAGATACGTTACTAATCCTTTCTGTTTTCTAAAACAAGAACATATATATTTCTGGTGGAATAGTCTTTGGTCAAGCACTGTTTAAGTCTCAAACTCCTCCTAATGAAACTTAAAAGCTTTTGCACAACAAAGGAAACTATAAGCAAGGTGAAAAGACAGCCCTCAGATTGGGAGAAAATAATAGCAAATGAAGCAACAGACAAAGGATTAATCTCAAAAATATACAAGCAACTCCTCCAGCTCAACTCCAGAAAAATAAATGACCCAATCAAAAAATGGGCCAAAGAACTGAACAGACATTTCTCCAAGGAAGACATACAGATGGCTAACAAACACATGAAAAGATGCTCAACATCACTCATTATCAGAGAAATGCAAATCAAAACCACAATGAGGTACCATTACACACCAGTCAGGATGGCTGCTATCCAAAAGTCTACAAGCAATAAATGCTGGAGAGGGTGTGGAGAAAAGGGAACCCTCTTACACTGTTGGTGGGAATGCAAATTAGTACAGCCACTATGGAAAACAGTGTGGCGATTTCTTAAAAAGCTGGAAATAGAACTGCCATATGACCCAGCAATCCCACTCCTGGGCATACACACCGAGGAAACCAGATCTGAAAGAGACACGTGTACCCCAATGTTCATCGCAGCACTGTTTATAATAGCCAGGACATGGAAGCAACCTAGATGCCCATCAGCAGACGAATGGATGAAGAAGCTGTGGTACATATACACCATGGAATATTATTCAGCCATTAAAAAGAATTCATTTGAATCAGTTCTAATGAGATGGATGAAACTGGAGCCCATTATACAGAGCGAAGTAAGCCAGAAAGATAAAGACCATTACAGTATACTAACACATATATATGGAATTTAGAAAGATGGTAACGATAACCCTATGTGCAAAACAGAAAAAGAGACTCCTATGTATAGAACAGACTTGTGGACTCTGGGAGAAGGCGAGGGTGGGATGTTTCAAGAGAACAGCATTGAAACACGTATATTATCTAGGGTGAAACAGTTCACCAGCCCAGGTTGGGTGCATGAGACAAGTGCTCGGGCCTGGTGCACTGGGAAGACCCAGAGGGATTGGGTGGAGAGGGAGGTGGGAGGGGGGACCGGGATGGGGAATACATGTAAAAAAAAAAAAAAAAAAGATACACTATGGTTGTGATAAAAAAAAATTAATTAATAAAAAAATATATATTTAATTAAAAAAAAAAACTCCTATTTTTTTAACATTTATAGAGGAGAAAGGACTATGCTGCTGCTGCTAAGTCACGTAAGACATGTCCAACTCTGTGTGATCCCATAGATGAATCAAATCATAATAAAAAGAACTTTAGAGGAAGAAGAAACAGTGAAAACTTATTTAACTCATGCCAAATAATCTTAAAGTCATTTCTAAAAGTAATTTTTGTAAAAATCAAAATCATGACAAAAGATAATCAACATAAGATATACCTATGTTTTGTAGAATTTCAACAAGTTTTTCTCTTTTTGAGTACTGGCCAACTTGAAGAATGGTCTGCTGAACATCTGTACATGCGCCACCCACTTGTCCAACGGCAACAAACAAATAATTTGACTTTAAAAACTTCCCAGCCAACCTTGAAAGACAAAAGAGTATTCCTTAACTTATTCTCTTCTATTAATACTAATAATATTCACTGAATTTCTGCAAGTGTTACTTCAACATTTATAAGCCAGATTATAACATTTATAAACCAGATTATAAGTCATAATAAGAGATGGTAGATATTACATCATCCAAGTATTACTTTCAAATATCATTGTAAAATGTTAGCATTTTGCAAAACATTTATTACAAATGAAAAAGTCTGTGTCAAATGATGGGTAAGTAATTTCAACTGGTAGCCCTGACCACACGAAACTATACAAAATGTGTATACAACAATAATAGAAAGTATGCTAAACTATCAGACTACAACAAGCAGGAATTTTTTAATTGAAGATAAAAATGCAAACCTACAGCAAAAATTCTGTTCTTCATTCATCACCTTCATATATGTTATTTAAAAGAACTGTTCCCTGAAAATATGAGCTGTTAAATTAGTATACTCCAAATGAACTATAATATTCTGAGAAAACCGGATCTTAAGTCAATGCTTCTCACATCATGACACAGAAAATGATAATACCTGTAGAGCATAACTGGTGAAAAACATGAGACCAGGTGAACAGACTAGGGGCTAGGCCACACCAAGCTGCAGATGCTCTCCCCAAAGTTTGAGGGTTATCAGCATCCTGACACACACACGACTCACGGATAATATATCATGAAGAAGCCCTGCTTTAGATCACAGAAACATGGGGTGGGGAGAAGCGGAATTGCCAATTACAGAGCACATTTGGGAGGAAAAAAGAGGAGGTCATGGAGCAGCCTTCCTCTCTCCTACATAGCAATTTCTTACTTTCTAGTCATCTCCTAGCATATCAAGAAAATAGTTCAAACTCTGCAGACCTAGAATCTTAATAAATCACTGCTGCTTCTTTTTCATCTGCTCTCTTGACATAAAAGAAAAGCTTCTTGTTCATACTCTACTTCTAGACTCAAGAACCCTTTCATCCAGGCACAAACCTTGACATTATCTGAAATTCGTAATTATCAATCATCCTTTACACTCATTAAAATATATACTGAGTGCCTCATGTGAGGTATATGTGGTATAAGGTACTGTGTGTATAAAGATGAATATCATGGTCTCTGCCTGTGTTGCTCATATCAAACAGCATAAATATAGCTATATAAAAGCAATTACTATAATTTAAAAATATTTTATCAAGGTTAATATTTACATATTTTAATTATTCAATGCTTTAAGTTAGTGCTAAATAGTTAACATTGATTGAACCTTACTATATTACAAGAAAACTGCAAAGTGTTTTAAACAGTTTCTTTCAGAAGATAGAGGGTTCCTTTACAAGACGGGCAGGAAATGGATGAAATGATGTCTATTAATTCATGTCAGGAATTAATCTCTATTGATTCATGTCAATGTATGGCAAAAACCACTACAATACTGTAAAGTAAATAGCCTCCAACGAATAAAAATAAATGGAAAAAAATTAAAAAAAAGAAAAATTCCATTAAAATAATTTTTTAAAAAAAACCTCTTTAAAAGTTTTTTTTTTTTTAAAAAGAGTCTTCAAGTTTAAAGCTTGATCTAAGGAAGCAGCAAGCAAGAACATGAAATAGGGATGACTAAGGAAAAGCACTCTATGCAGAAGGAAAGAAGAAATAAGGATAAATGATGAAGAGGAACAGAATTTGGCTTGCGTAGCCAATAGGAAATACTCTATAAATAAACCAGAAAAACATTATTCCAAGGAATAAAGTGGCAAATGAGGCAAAAATTGTCACATATAAAAGTATTTAAAAGTTGGTTAGTCTGTGGAAATGGAAAGACATGGGAGAATTTATTTTAAATAAATGGCGATAAAGATCAGACTTAGTTTTGCAATTTTAACAGCCCAAAAGTCAAACTACAGACATATTAGAAAGCTACTATCAATGAAGAGGGGAACTGAAAAGGACCTAAAATAAGGTGGTACATGGAGAAAAAACTAACAAATTTGCAATATTTTAGAGATAACTGCCAAGTTGAATACTTTTGAAGAGCAGAGTTAAAGGGATATGAGGGAGGATTCAACATGCTTCAAATGACTTTGGTTTCGAAAGACCTCGAAGCCAACAAGGAAAACTGGCAGGGAGGGGTCTCCCCGACTCCCTCTAATTCTCTTTCTGCCCTTTCCTCTGCAGTGATGCTACCCACAGTCTCAGCAGGCTGAGGATGTGCCCATGCCTCCTGATGCCAGGACACAGTTTCCCTCTGGGAGTCACAGCTGCCTCCACACGATGGAACTTGCCTGAGCACCTGCACAGGTGCCCGTAAGCTCCCCGGCAGCCATGAGCTTCATGAGAGGCAGGTATCAGACAAGTGACAGTAAGAGGACAAGGACAGTGGGAGTTTTCTTTATAAAATCCAGCTAGGATATGCACCTGCCTTCACCTCCACGGAGGATTCTGAGGTGTATGAATTCAAGTTCAGTGCAGTTTTTATAGCTTTGTGGCCTAACCACCTAGGAAAGCTGACCCATCAGTTGAAGTGTCCAACTGCCAGTTTCAAAGAATCCCATTAAAATCTTACCAGAAGACTGAGGGTGGTAATCAAAATGTGTTCAACTATATTCCCTGAGATTGAGTAGACTGTGTGTCAAACCAAATTCGCTCATTTCCCATTTGGAAACTTTTTAGTGTATTTAGACTCAAGCAGAAAAACCAAGTGTCTACCTGTTCTGACCAAAGCACACTTTCTCAGATCCAGGAGATTAATTGGAGAGAAGACCTCAATGGAAATAGGTTACCTTTATTCAGGCAAGGAGGGGCGACAGTCGGCCTAACGACTAGGCTGAGCTCCAAGAGGGATCAGCGAGGCTCCATATTTATAAGGAGGTTTTTGGAAACAATAAGGGAAACGTTAATCAGGCGGGATATTTTGGGTATTCTTTAGTTGAGATGGCATTTGTAGTTGGGCAGGGGGTGATAAGTCTTCTGGGCAGGTGTAGGGGGTGGAAGGTTTCTGGACAGGGGGTGATAAGTTCCAGATAGATAAAACTAGCCTGGAGCATCAGGGTGGGTGGGACCTAAAGTTCAGTTTTGTTTTCTCTGAAGTTAGATGATTCAGCAAGGACCTTTGAGACTGTTGCTTTCTTTTCTAGGCCCAAAGACTCCTTCATTCCAGACCCTGAAATCATTAAAGAATGGGGAAAAGAGCGCTGTATCTCTCTGGCTACTTCTTTCTGGATGGGGGTGATGGTTTTGGGTCTGGAATGGAGGATCATCCTAGGGCCCAGAATCTTCTTTTTCTGAGCTTGGGGTGAGGCTCTCGAGAAGAAGAATGGTCTTGACCTGATCTCAAGAGATGGCCTGAATCCATTCTTGGAGAAACCTTTGAAAGAGATTGAAGAGACAGGGTCCAAATAAGAGGAATAAAATGATAAGTATCAATGGTCCCAGGAAAGGGAGCAACCAAGGGAACGCCTGTTGGAACAGGTTTTGGGGACTGTAAAGATTTTGTAACTCTTTTTTGTGGCATTCAATTCTGTTTCTAAGTTCTTTGACTTTGCCCTGGACTATGCCCATTTCATTAACAAAATAGCAGCAGTCCTCTCCTAGGAAAAGGCAGGTCCCTTCCTTTTCTGTGGTGAGAAGGTCCAGGGCTCACCTATTTTGTAGGGCCACAGAAGCTAATGAGTTAATTTGTCTTTGGACTGAAATGAAGGACTCCACTACCTGCTCCATGTCCTCACTGAGTTCTTGGGACAGTTTGTAGAAGAAATGGGCAGAGGTCGAGATGCCCTCAATCCCAGTGCCTAGGGCTGCTGCTATGCCAGTCCCAATCAGGAGGGGGGCTATGACAGCTTGTTTTTTTTTCTGTGGGAAAGTTCCCCTTCGGGGTAGACTATTTGTTCTACCTCTTCTTCTTTGAGGAATGTTAGACCCGGGGTCAGGAAGGCCAAGATGCAAGGTCCAGGGGGGTCCATAGGTCCTGCAGAGAATGAAGATTCCCGAATTGGTGCAATTATTTGTGCTGTTTCAGAGAACCCAAGTGGAACAGAAGGAGGGAGCAGAGTTTGTAAGACCAGTGTAGTTGGGACTAGAGTAGTTAATACAGGTTAGGTTTGAAGAGGCTGAGAGTAGGACATTGTCAGAGACTGGCCCAATGAGTTGTGTAGTTTTCTGTTGGGAAGGGGAGGTATAGTTGACCTGTAACAGCCAGGTTGAAGGTAAGGGAATTGCTATGTGTGGTGAGGGAGACAGTGACATGCATATCCAAGACTGTGATGTGTGTTGTGTGTATTGGAAGAATTGGAAAGAAGATTTGAGAAGGTGGGTAAGGTATTGGTTGCCAGAGGGAGGTTTTAGGGGAGGCCATAATTGGGAAAGGAGATCTAGGCGTTTATAAGGTTCAGGGGTTATCTGTAACTGGGAAATTATGTTCTTTATGACTTGTTCTTGTTTATTTTCCCAATTTTGATCACCCCACCCCCATCTGAGTACCCCCAGTGGGTAATGGGGTAGAAACATATGTTTCTTCCATTTGGCTTATGGCAGGTACTCATGAAACTCCCTCTCGTTTGTACTTTAACAGTGAGTAGGGTTTTTCCAGTGGTCATGTATGGCTGTGAGAGTTGGACTGTGAAGAAAGCTGAGCGCCAAAAAATTGATGCTTTTGAACTATGGTGTTGGAGAAGACTCTTGAGAGTCCCTTGGACTGCAAGGAGATCCAACCAGTCCATCCTAAAGGAGATAAGTCCTGGGTGTTCATTGGAAGGACTGATGCTGAAGCTGAAACTCCAATACTTTGGCCACCTCATGCGAAGAGTTGACTCATTGGAAAAGACCCTGATGCTGGGAGGGATTGGGGGCAGGAGGAGAAGGGGATGACAGAGGATGAGATGGCTGGATGGCATCACCAACTCGATGGGCATGAGTTTGAGTAAACTCCGGGAGTTGGTGATAGACAGGGAGGCCTGGCGTGCTGCGATTCATGGGGTCGCAAAGAGTCGGACACGAGTGAGCGACTGAACTGAACTGAACTGAGGGATTTGGACCCCCACCCCCACCCCACTAAGGTTCATGGTGCATGGTCTTGGAGTCATATTATTACATGAGGAATGTACATAGGAATAAATGTCTGAGCAGGGGCAGGGAGTAGCCAGAAAACTGGGGAGTGCAGCAAGGATAAGGAATGGGGGAGTCATGGGGCTGTTAGTTAGGCAGTGCGGAGGAAATAGCACCCTAGGAGTAGAACACAGATAGCAACATAGGCAATACCAATGGAAAGACGAAGGATAGGTGACCAGTCTTGAAGGGAGACAGTTACTAGGCCTATAACAAGGACTAAGATTAAGAGTGCAGTTATAGTTAGACGGGGAGAGGCCAGTCAGGGTGAGGGGCAGAAGGCCCCAAGTTGGTGGTGGTTTGAATCTGAGGAGGAACAGTGTTCATTAGGGTGTAGAATGATGTAGAGAATGAGAGTAAAGAAATCAATTTCATCTGGAGTCAGGTTGTAGAAGGTTCCCTGAAGCCACAGTTGAGACACCAGTGTGGTCAGGTCTTTGAAGGAGGTTCCTGTCAGACCGCTGGTCCAGAGGTCTTGTAGTAGTTGGGTCAGGAACAGTTGTAGGTTGAAGAGTGTCCAGGTCATTCAGTGTCTTCTTGGATGGTTGACAGAGGTTGTTGCCGGGTGAATTTTAAGGAGGTAGGTCCTGTGAGGGAGACCTGATAGGTGTCAGTTAAGGAGGGCAGCGCAGGATCAGAGGTGACCCGTTTTAGGCGAGAGGGGTGTACCCAGGAGGTGACTTTCTCCGGTTTAGCTGCAGTTGGGGTAAGGAGGATGATTTTGAATGGTCCCTGCCACTTTGGGGTTAGGTGACCCTATCAGACAGACCACATCCCCAGTTTGTAAAAGGGGTAAGGAGGCTTGGGGGTCAGGGGCAGGCAAGTTGTGGTTGATGTATTTCCAGAGGGCGTTGCAGGGTTCCGCCAGCAGAGGGGAGTGTAGGAAGCTTGGTATGGGAGGAGGTTCATGGTGGAGTCCAGAAGGGAGCATGGGCCTTCTGAACATCACCTCAAAGGGACTCAGCCCCAGGGGCTTTCTGGGCAAAGCCTGTACTCTGAGGCGAACAATCGGTAAAAGTTTAGTCCAATCCAGATGTAACTTGAGGGTTAGTTTGGTAAGGGTTTCTTTGCTTATTCTGTTCATTCTTTCTACCTTTCCTGAGGACTGGGGATGATATGGAATGTGAAACTTCCACGGTATCTCTAAGAACTGGACAAGTTGTTGGGTGACCTTAGACATAAATGCCAGGCCACTATCAGACTAGAGGGATGAAGGCAGGCCAAACATGGGGATAATTTCGGTGAGGAGGATTTGGGCCACGGTGTGAGCTCTTTTGTATGAAGTGGGAAATGCTTCTACCCATCCCAAAAAGGTGTCCACAAGGACCAGGAGGTATCTGACTTTCCAAACTGGGGCATATGAGTAAAGTCTATTTGCCAATCCTGCGCTGGGAGGCTGCCTCGCATTTCATGGGTTGGAAAGGATGTTGGTTTAAGGTTGGAATCGGGATTAGTACGTTGACATGCTTGACAGGAGTGGGTAAGGTTATCTAAATATTGCTGATCAGCAGTGGACATGGGAAAGTGGTTCCAGAGGAACTGTTGGAGTGTTTTGGACAAGGAATGAAAAAGTGAGTGTAGATAAAAGAGGATTTCTCTGGTGGTGGGAGGGTTGGATGGAGTCAGAGCTAAGATGACAGGGGACTGGAGGGAAGGATGGGACAGGGCTATCTCCTTTGCCTTCTGGTCTGCACACTGTTCTAGGCTGATATGAGACTTCCCTTTTGGTGTCCCCTACAGTAGAGGATGGTGGCTTTGTTTGGTAAGGATGCTGCCTCTAGAAGTTTGTGGATCAGGTCTGAATTAATAATGGGGGATCCCTTTTGGGTTAGGAAACCTCTTTCTCTCCATATTAGGATGTTTGAGTGAAGTATGTTATAGGCATATTTGGAGTCTATGTAGATGTTAACCCTCAGATTTTTAGCCAGAGTCAAAGCTCTGGTGAGAGCTATCAGTTCTGCCTGTTGGGAGGTGGTGTGAGGTGGCAGAGGTGAAGCTTCAATTGTCTGGGTCCCGTGATTGTGACGAAGGTCCCCCTGGATGGTGGCATATCCTGCCTCAAAGGGTGGGGATTTTTGAAAGCTGCCATCAACGAACCAGTGTGGGCTGTCTGGGTCTAGGATGGGCTGATCTGTTAAATACTGGAAGGGGTTTTGGGCAGGATCTACTGTTAGGCTGCAGCTATGTAGGAGGGGGTCTGTTGTAGAGGATATGGGTAATAAGCTGGCAGGGTTAAGGGGAGAGCAGGGGGAGAATGAGAGCCAAGGGTCGAGAAGAAAACCATGAAGGATCTGTACCCTGGAAGAGGGAAGGGAGAGGAGAGCCCGTTGTGATAGTAAGTCGCGGAAGGTGTGTGGAGAACAGACTGTTAAAGGGGCATGTCTAGAGTGTTTATTTGCTTTGGGTTTGAGGGCTGCGATAGCAGCCATGGCCTGTATACAGGGAGGCCACCCCTTAGTCACCATGTCAAGTTGTTTTGATAGATAGGCTATGGGAGCCCAGCTGTCTCCGGCCCGCTGACATAGAAGCCCCAGGGCCTGTCCTTGTTTGGAATGTGCAAAGAGAAAGAATGGTCTGGTGTGATGCTCAAATTCATGTCCACTGAGTCAGTGATGCCATTCAACCACCCCCTCCTCTGTCATCCCCTTCTCCTCCTGCCCTCAATCTTTCCCAGCATCAGGGTATTTTCAAATAAGTCGGCTCTTTGCATCAGGTGGGCCAAAGTATTGGAGCTTCAGGATCAGCATCAGTCCTTCCAATGAATATTCAGGATTGATTTTCTTTATAATTGACTGGTTTGATCTCCTTGCTATCCAAGGGACTCTCAAGAGTCTTGTCCAGCACCACAGTTTGAAAGGATCAATTCTTTGGGACTCAGCGTTCTTTATGGTCCAATTCTAACATCTGTACATGACTACTGGAAAAAAAATAGCTTTGACTAGATGGCCCTTTGTTGCAAAGTGATGTCTCTGCTTTGTCATACACCATCTAGGTCTGTCACAGCTTTTCTTCCAAGGAGCAAGTGTCGTTTAATTTCATGGCTGCAGTCACTGTCTGCAGTGATTTTGGAACACAAGAAAATAAAGTCTGTCACTGTTTCCATTTTTTTGCCATCTATTTGCCATGAAGCGATGGGACTGGATGCCATGATTTTAGTTTTTGGAATGTTGAGTTTTAAGCCTCATCTCCCTACTTCCCTCTTTTCCTGGGTGCTACCCAATACTGCATCTTCCACTATGCTCTTCAATGGACAACCAGGACTGGTTCCCATAACTCTAGTCCTGACCTTTCTGAGTTCCAAATTCATGTCTCCAGGTGTTTCCTGAATATTTTTGCACCCTTCTGTCCTCAAACTCAGTGTGTTCAAAATTATGTCATCTCTCCTTCCATGTATTTTACTCAACTTCCTAAAAGTATCATCACTTTTCCATTAACTTCACAGCTTCGGTTACCTGACTCCTCCTCTACCTTTACCTAGTCCTACTGGTTTTTAAACAATTCTTTATGTTCCTTTTTCCTGTGGTTCCCCAAAACACCACCAGAAACTAGGTTTTCATCACCCTCTCAAACTAGATTTTCATCCATCTCCCCATCTCCAACTCATCTTCTTTCTTAAATGTCTACATCGTGTTAATCTGTTATTCAAAAATCTCTTACTTTTCTTTATTAAATCCCACAGCTAGAGTACACATCCTCCACCTGCTCACAGCCTGACTGCTTCCAATGCTGATTCAAGTCCACTCTCTTCAACCAAGCTCTCTGTTAATGTTCTTGGATTTACTATCTACACACTATGATTTTTGCTGCTCAACTGTCAGATGTTTTATAAGCTAGACTTTTAATGTGCCTATCTTCCTGGTATGGCTGTAGGAACCACATCTTACATGTTCACTGCTTCTGAAACTTACCTAATAACTATATTACATTATTTTAAAAATGAGGCCCAGTGATAAGAAGAGTATGACTAAGAAGTAGAAAATCCTGAGTTTAAATCCTGGCTCTGTTCCTTTTTAGGTGGGTGACCTTTGGCAAGTTACTTAACTTCTAGAAGCTTTCACATCTATAAAACAGAGATAATGCCACCTATTTCACAAGGCTGTAATGAAATGTAATGTGTACATGGGTATGTATACACACACATACAAACACACCATGTCTAACACAGTATTTGGTACATAGTGAGTGGGTTTTTTTTTTTAAATAGATGGCTATTAGTGACTTTGCACCCCATAGGTACTCCTCTTTGGTCAATATTTTAAACTGCAAGTGAAGTGAAGTGTCAGCCACTCAGTTGTGTCTGACTCTTTCCAACCTCATGGACTGTAGCCTGCCAGGCTCCTCTGTCTGTGGGATTTCTCAGGCAAGAATACTGGAGTGTGTTGCCATTCCCTTCTCCTGGGGATCGTCCTGACCCAGGGATCGAACTCTGGTCTCCTCATTGCAGGCAGATTCTTTACTGTCTGAGCAAACTAGGGAAGCCCTTTAAACTGCAAAGGTCATGTTAAATATTTTTTTGTAACACGCTGTCAAGATTCCGTTGCATGTGAAGTTTTATACTACTCATCACTATATTTAGCCAAAAATTACTTTTCTAAGCTACATTCTAGAAGAGTAAGAAAGATAACTTAACTTTCAAGCTGTGCCCAGATGCCAAAACTTGGGGTGTGAAACTATACAATCAGTTTCATTTCACATACATAACCCAATCCAGCATGATTTTCAGCAACCACCTTTTCTTAAATACAGTTAAAGAAGCACTCAAGAATCTTTGGGAAGGCTAGAGTTTGTAAGATAGGATTGCTACAGCCTGTCAACAACCAGAGCTTAATGATTAGTGACCATGAGCAGCTTCTCTGGGAAGAAGGGGATAAGCTTCTCCTCAACCAACAGGTTAATTACTGACTCTAATTAATGGCTTTAAAAGACATAATGAAAATGCTGCAATCCAGTACATTAAAACCTGAAGAATGGATCTTCTGTTGGTTGAGGTGATCTTTTTTTTTTTTTATTCCTAATGAAACATACAGTCCTTTCTCCTTTGTGCAGTAGGTCACAGCTTTCGCTAGGTTAAGTCATACAGTATTTTTTTTTAAAGTACTTCTCTAAGGTTCCAGAAACTTTCCATCAACAGTATCTGTAATCTTGCAGGAGAGGCTGCCTGGAGTAGAGCAAGTTAATGCCACTGTCTCCTTTTGTCCTGACTTGGGCCTCCCACAATGACGAGCAGCCACAGGGCAAGTGTCTCTCTACATCACTACCCACAGTACCTCCTTTCCAAGACCCCTCAGTATTTCTGCACTCCTGGGCAGGGAAATCGCATGACCTTATTGCAGAAATTAGACAAGCAAGAATTTCATCACTGCTCTCTTCTGAGTCTTCAATTTTCTGATGAGATCTTTGAAAAACAAAGGATAAATTACACTTTAGCTTTAGCTGCTCAAATTTATTCACTGAGTTATGGGGAATACAGGGTAAATAGTAGCATTATTGCTTCATATGTTAGTGAAAGTAACCTATGTGAGTAACATGGGGACAATAATACCATAGGAACACAACTTGTGACAGGCCAACAATTTCTTCAAAATCAATCAGCAAGAACCTCTTTCCCACACATCAATTAAATCCTGAGGACTGTTACTGTTCTTCAAATGAACTGAAGAATAATCCTGACACATCAAGTTTTCTAACAGAGAATAAGCAGAGGGTGAATATAATGTGGTTAAGTATTGAAATTCCTGGTCAATCTAAAGTAAATCCAGATTCTGAAAATAAGAAACATGAATTTTCTGCTATATCTGAGTTCCAGCCAAAACAAATTTATAAGGAAGTAGTCTATTATAAGTTTCTCCTTTGGCAGGTATTGTATGGATCAAAATAGCAGAAGCACTTTGCTTTGTTTTATGAGACCACAGCCCAGTTGAGAAGAAAACTATGCATGTGTTAAATAACTAGGGAGACAAACAACATTTACACAGTGTGATATCAGTTTGTTCAGAAAAATCACCTTCCTAATGTAATTCATGAAAAATTTTCACCATACAAATGTACATTGCTAACCCATAAAATCTACTTCAAACAAACCTTATAAAAATTACATTTCTTTTTGCTGACTTGGTCAAAGGGAAAAACACTGACTAATGCCAACTGAATATATGGAATTGTCTCCCAGATCTATTTCCACAAGCAATTCCTTTCAGCACCTTCTGTAGACTGGGAGGGGGTTGGTGGTAATTGCTCTGCAGATAAGCACCATGGCACCCCAGTCCACTGATGGATTTCAATCTCAGAAACTGCAGTGGGCCAGCCTAAGCACAAGCCTTGTGGAGCAGAAGGGCTTCTCCTGGATCCTAAGAAAGCTAGGAAGAGGCTCTTTGAGAAAGGAAAAGCAGTCGGATCAGTTCTGACACTGGCTTCTAGTTTCTGTAAATGTTACTAAACCCTTTCAAAGGAAAAATGTCCCACCCTTCAGGTCAGAGGAATGAATTACTAACTACCACCTTTACAAAAATTGCATGTCACAGGTATGGAGCAGTGTGGGCATGCTGTCCAGTAACTTAATTCTTGGTGCAGCAAAGCCTCTGAAACATGACCTTGATAATGAACATTTCAAAGAATAAGCCTTATTATTTTTTTAAGCTCTATTATTAAAATGACCTACTTACAAGGTTTCCATGCGTATGAAATGACACTGAGAAGAGACTGGAAACCTTTATAACCTAAGCCACCAAAGCAGGTTTATAAGATTATGCTGGGGCGACAGAACAGATCTGAGAGGAAATTAGGAGCTGAGAACGTTAGACACAAGAGCAACACCAAGGATTTTCAAGGCCCTGTCGTTGTCTGTGGTGAAGTGTGCCTGGTGGTGTCGTCTCTTGCTCAGCCCCCAGCAGACACCTGAGAGCCGTCTTCCAGCCCATTTCCCATTTTTATCCCCTCAATTACCACAATCTATACTCAGAACTCTCAAGTCTTTCTCTAGTGGCTGAATCTTCCCTGAGATCACCCTGTGCTTCCATCTGTCTTCAATATGGCTCTAGGTGGTAATCTCAGAATACTGTTTTCACTCACATAGGGATCTTACAAGGCCCTCAGACTCAACATAACTTCCGGTGACCTTCCCCTGGCTCCTGCCCTCCGTGGTACACCAGCGCCTCTCACCACTCGGCTTCACATCACCCTGTGGCCGTTCCATCTTTCCAGTCACCACATCCTCCTCTACTCTGCTTTCCTCCCCACAAGCCTCTGGGAGGCTCTCACCTCCACAACATACTTTAACCAGCTTCTAACCAGCTTGTCTCTGCTTCTCCTCTAGTATCTTATCTTCTGTTGATGCCAGGGTTCTCCTTCTACAACCACGATCTGGTCCTGCTCTTCTCCAGACCCACACCTTCAGGGACTCTCCCACTGCCTACCTGAAAATTCAGAAGACTTCCTGTCTGCTGAGGAGCCCCAGGTCCACCCTGCTCCCACAAGGACCTGCATGGCACCTGGCGCAGAGGAGTGATGTGGGAGACAGGCAAATGGTGAGGAGCATGAGAAGGGGGATGGAAGAGAGAAGGGCGATGCTCCCCCACTCGGCTTCCCTCCTCGTCACTAGTGCCCCTGCCCAGCTTGATGCCAAAAGGCCCAGAAATACCAGACTCCTTTTCCCTAGTAAATGTATTTTTGCAAAATAAGATAAATTCTATTTGTTTTACAAAGTAAATGCCCATCTGTGCAACCTAGTGACAGTAAAGTTCTCATATATCGGATCAAAACAGAGGATGAACAGAAGGGGCATGGGAGAATAAAGAAAGAACCACCTGTAACATGAATAAAGGAAGAAATACCTATACCGAGGGAAAGCTGTACTTGCATCTTAAGGGCACTGTGCTACTCAGTAAACAAGGGAGGAAAAGAGAAACTCTGGAGAGAGAGGACAACAGAGAAACCCTGGTTGGACTCAGCAGTAATGGCAGTGACAAGGTGATGAAAGAAAGAGAAAAGGAAGTGACCCTTAGAAGGGAGACCCATCCCTAAGGGTCTGTGCCAGCAGAAAGCTCTGACCCAACTGGAGTCCCTTTTTTGATTTCCTAAGGCCACTTCTCAAGGTCCCTGCCTGGCAAGAGTGCAAGCCTGATCCCATGATCCTCCAAGGGAAATGGCGAATCCTAGTGCTCTGGGCAATACAATACAATGGGAAAGACTAGAGATTTCTTCAAGAAGATTGGAGATATAAAGGGAACATTACATGCTAGGATGGGCACGATAAAGGATAGATACAGTAAGGACCTAACAGAAGCAGAATAGATTAAAAAGAGATAGCAAGAGGACATGGAAGCAATCTATATGTCCAACCAACCTAGATGGACAGATGAATAAATTAAGTAGTCGCAGTACATATATACAATGGAAATCAACCCTGAATATTCACTGAAGGACTGATGCTAAAGCTGAAGCTCCAATACTTTGGCTACCTGATGTGAAAAGCCAACCCATTGAAAAAGACGCTGCTGCTGGGAAAGATGGAAGGCAAAAGAAGAAGGGGGCAGTGGAGGATGAGACGGTTAGATGTCATCACTGACTCAATGGACATGAGTTTGAGCAAACTCCAGGAGATAGTGAATAACAGGGAAGCCTGTGCTGCAGTCCATGGCACTGCAAAGACTCGAACATGACTTAGTGACTGAACAACAACAAAAGTGCTATGGGCAGATGTCTCTGTAAGTTTGAGAGGTCTACAATAACTGAGAGTGCCGTTGTCAGGACACAGGAATGGCAAAAGTCAGTGCTCCTCTACCCTTGTCCCTCTAACCATCCAACAGGACACATTATCATTCCATTCAATCCACACTAAAAACAAAACAAATGCCTGCCCTCTCTGCAGGCTTCTCTACCTTAATTACAGGTAACTCCACCCTCCTAGTTAGAAGTCACCTTTGATCACTTCCTCCTTATGGTCTCTTCACTGTATCCATCCCCGAATACTATCAGCTCCGTCTTTGAGGCATCTCTCCCTTTGGAACATTCTCTCCACCTCTACTCCAACCGCTGCCGCCCAAGCCATAAGATCTCTTACCTACAGCCAGAGTGGTCTTGTTAGCATGGAAGTTAGATCATGGTCCTCCTCTGCTCAAAACCCTCAAATGACTCCCCAACATTCTTGGAATGAAGTCAAAGTCTCCACAGTGCTGCCATCTCCCGCTCTCTTTAGTACAGACTTGGCGACAGTTTCCAACCTGGATAACTATTTGAAAATTATCTACACAATTCACACTGCAGCAGAGAAGAAGTGGAAAATTCCCCACCCCAAGAAATCTCCCAACACAAACTGTCAGCTTTGACAGGGCTAAACAGTCAGTGGTGTTGAGTTTCAACAATAAGCCTTAGGTAGCAGTGAACGAGAGACATTACCTGGATAACAGAATTTGTTTTACATCAGTTAGGTTTAGCACAATTTCTAGAAACTTGAGTTTAACTGATAACCCTACAGAGGTTTCCAGAACACTCTTAGTGAAAATTCCTTCATGAGAATTAGTGTAATGGGTTTCCAATTAAGTCTTTTCAAATGAAGTTTTTCAAAATGAAGCTACCATAAACCTTCCATGTAAGAGATAAAACCCACATACTTTACTGAGGTTTTCACCAAAATACTTGTGCCTCAAGGTTAAAGTGCAACCAGTATCATCTTGGAGTTGGAAAACTCTACTTTCTTTTCAACAGTGGAAGAGGTTTCCTGGAATTTCAGGATGTAAAGCTGAAAGTATTTCTTACAGAAATATTTCCTAATAATACCACTTTACATTTGTCTATTGCTGCTCCTGCTGTTAAGTCACTTTAGTCGTGTCCGGCTCTGTGCGACCCACACAAGTCCTATCTATATCTATCTCAATATTACATAGCATGTTCACTGAGCTGCCAGGAGCTACCAGTCTACACATAACACGGTTCCTAGAGGAAAATGTGTTAAATGCATCCAACAGCCATAAATAGGCAAAGGTTTGGAGTCTAGTGGTTCAAGAGGTGTAGACCATGAATAATTGGCACATGCTAATCCGGTAGAGGTGTCACGCATGACCTTCCATGCACACGTGAGCCAGCACTATCTTGGACACGGATGTGTTGCACCCCACAGAGGACGCTAACAATGTAGACATGGCCTCAGTCAGTTTCTATGTTAAGTTGCCATGAGTGCTGCCCCAGGGCCTGTCATTAGCTTCTGAGTGCTTCTTTTTTTTTTTTTTTTCTTAACTAATATGTAAGATTGTCTCCCCAATTAATTTTAATTTTTTCATTTATTTTTATTAGTTGGAGGCTAATTACTTTACAATATTGTAGTGATTTTTGTCATGCATTGACATGAATCAGCCATGGATTTACATGTGTTCCCCATCCTGAAACCCCCTCCCACCTCCC